ATCCTTAGCAAGCATCATCACTACTTTAGTCAACTCAGAAAGTTGACTCTCAATTTTTGGGGTAGAAATTTCTTTCACTCCTCTTGGTGCATCACTGTACCATTCTTCTTCTTGTGTTGTATGCTTGGACTCTTCTGCCATGTTTTTGATAAGAGCTCTGATTTCTGTTGGAGTTTTATCAGCTATGGATCCACCACTTGATGCATTGAGCAATCTTCTATCCCAAGATGACATTCCTTCACAAAAATATTGTAACAACTAATACTCTGAAATCCCATGTTTTGGACATCTTGAACACAATTTCTTGAACCGTTCCCAATAAGAATGCAAAGCTTCTCTCTTTTGTTGCTTGATACCAATGATTTCCCTGCGTAAGGCCGAAGCTCTCATCTCTGGAAAATATTTGTCCAAAAGCATCCTTGCAAGTTCATTCCATGTTGTGACTGACCCCGATGGTAAGTCATATAACCACTCCTTGGCTTAATCTTGTAAAGCAAAGGGGAATGCCCTTAATTTGATATGATCTTCTGTGACTTCATGTGACTTCATACCCACACAGACAACATGAAATTCCTTAAGGAATTTATGTGGGTCTTCATTCTCAAGACCACGGAATGAGGGTAACAAATGGATGAGTCCAGACTTGAGTTCAAAGTTGATTGTTGCAGGGTAATTTATACACAAAGGTTGTTGGGTGACATCTTGAGTGGCCCACTGTCTAAAGGTTTGTTCAGGTGGTGGATTTGGAGGATTTTGGCCATGGTTGTCCCCCATGGTAGGAGTAAGGATAAAGGTTTCAGATTCGGGTAAAGGTGAAGATGGTGGGGTGGTACTTTTAGGTGTTGGTGAAGATGTGTTTGATGGATTTGATGAAGAAGCTCCGGATTGTTGTTGTTTCTTTAAAAGTCTGGCTTGCCTCCTTCTTTGTTTTGCAGATTTATCTATCTCCAAATTAAGTGGTAAAGGTGTACCTGTGCGAAAAGATCTTGGCATAAACAGTTAGTACTACCGTATCCCCGGCAACGGCGCCACTAATTTGTGAAACTTTAGAACTATTGAGAACACACTTATTTGCTATTCACTTAGTGGCGGTGCATTGAGGTATATTATGACAAGCAGCTCCTCTTAAATAATTCGGGTCACAGCAGGTGATAATCAAATGTAGGGCGTTTTTTTAAATACTCGTGAGTACGTTATTGTGTGAATCGGTAAGGCATAAGGAGGCGTAAAAGTTCATTTGGTTGTCTAGTTTCGTTTTTAGTTTTTTTTGTTAATCGTTTGTATATATGCTTGTTTTATTTTTGTTTTGTAATATTTAGTTTAGTAAAATTGACTTTTTGTTGGATTATACATGATCTTCGCTTGGTTCAAAAAGATGGGTTAAAAAAAAAGTTTTAGTTTATGTTTGTTTTTCATTTCTTTTGTAATATTTAAGTTGAGTCTTTGTACATATCCATGCTGCTTTCTAGTTTATTTAAAAAAAAAGAGAGAACCGAACCAAGCCTTTCCAGATTTTTCATGATAATATTTTCATAGGAAATTCGTTTGTGTTTGATTTTGTTGGCTTGTTTAGCATTAGAAGTTTATTTTGAAGCCAATAATTATGATTATATGGTTCTATTTTGTATATTTGTTGTTGTATATTTCTTTTGCGCTCCTGATATGGTTATGGATTTATCTCCTATTGTGGATTACCGAGAGTTGACACGGATTTTGGAAGAAGATATGAAGATTGTGCAACCACAAGCTATTGAAGAGCATGAGGAGAAAACTAAGAAGAATGGGATATGCCTTACCGACGCCGAGTGCCCTCCACCTTAAATAACGAGTGTAGATTCTATGATAGGAGTGAGTTCACACATCTTGTGAAATGAGTGCATACACGAGTTGAGTGCTTCAGTGAGTACGCCCTATAGATTGAGATGCACCTACCTTGACAGTAAAAGTTACTAGGAGATGCCTTATACTATAGTTCTATGCAATTAAACCAAGTGGTTGGCAAATCTTTGTGTTCCAAGTCTTCTACTGTCCTGATTTGGAATGCAGTACATTCATATGTGTTTGGGGTATAGGTTGACAACTCTTTAATCATGATTATGTTGTCGGGATAAATAACTTGAGGCATTCTTTCTTTTTATTTCTATGTTTGCATTTCTTCATTTGCATTTGCATTCATCTCTTCCAAGGTTAATTTTTATTTTGTTTTCTTGAGGACAAGAAAAGGTTCAAGCTTGGGGAGATTTGTTAGGTGCATAAATTGCACCTTTTTCATAAGCTAATTTCATGTTTATTTATAGCATTGCATTGCATTTTTAGTGTAATATTCATTCATTTTTCATTAAAGGACATTATCGAGGATCTATCGATATTTCACCATTTTTTGTGGATGTTTCAGGGTGATTTGAAGATTGGAGCATGCTTAGGATGGTCAAGGGAAGCTCTCGGTGAAATTTCGGAACTTTCGGAGCTAAATTGAAGAAATGAAGAAAATCAGGAATTGACTTTTATGAACTGCATTACACGGCCTGCGCTTTGGCAAGGCATATGTTACGCGGCCGCGCTTTGGAAGTATTTCAGCACATCAGAGTCATTACACGGCCGTGTAATGGCAAGGCATACGTTACACGGGCCGTGTAACGTGATCTGATCAAAATTTGAATTCTTAACTTCCGATTTATCATGTTCTTCTGGCATGTTAAAACATAACTTCGACTTGGAACTGTAGGGGGGCGATTTTGGTGTATCATATCATCATCTAGCATCTTGGAAACACATTATTTTACATTTTGTAAGTTAATTTGAAGATCAAACTAGTTGAATTTGTAGTTTCACTTAGACATGTGTGGTTGATTTCTAAATCATTTCTGATTCTGGATTCCTAAGTGTTTGTTGTTAAGTTGTAATTTGCATTTGATTTTATGTTTATCATCTAGTAATCTTTGATTTGATCTTAATTATATGTTTGATTGGTCCTCTTTTCACTTGATCAATGAATTAGGATTCTTATCAATCTAGTTAATCAAATTATGAAATTCGTATATGTTTTATGATTTGATGTTAGTAACATGCACTTAATTGGTTGTAATTAGATCAAAAATTAGTGTAATCAAAGATTAGATGTTCATATTCCCGAACTTATGAGGAATGTTGGATATTGTTGGTAATTGTTGCAAGATCTTAATGTCATTTAATGATTTGATGCAAGAGCTTGTTTGAATTGAATCAATTAAATGAAGTTTTATTTAAAGAACATGTTTTGAATAAAACACTTTTGTCAACTTGGGTATTAGAGCTTGTTAATATCTAAATTACCAACCTAGATTGAACATGAATCACCGTCATATTACATCCTACAACATAATGCATGTATAGGAATCCGAATCGGAAATGTATTTCTTTTATTGATTTTTAGTATTAATCTTGTTTACTTATGAAGTTTAATTCTAGTTCAAACATAACCCCACCCCCACTTTAATATTATTTGTATGATGTGTGAGAATATGGCTAAATAAGAAGTCTCGTATTCCTGTGGATCGACCCTGCTTATTCTATATTATCTTTAGTGTAAGAAGTAGCAGTGATTTGAGTTTTATTGTTATTATTTTATCCCATTATTTGTTGGTTTGACAGCCAAACAGCCTTCTGTGTTTTTTCAATAAGGCATGAAAGAACGTAAGTTCTCATCCCCCTCCACAGCCCAAGTAGATTTAACCTTTTAAGCTACATCCAGAGATCTGACTTTTTCTAAATTCGTCAAGTCTCCAAAAATTCCTCTTCTTTCACGAATAAGGCCATCACTAGATTGACCATCATCAATATGGTTGTCAATCTCTACCAATCGGCCCAACAACTAAGATGAAGATAGTTGCGCAGCCGACTTAGTCTCCGCATTCCAAGACCATATCCTAGCTTTAATAAATTTAAGCTTTTTTTGAAAACAAAAAACTTACTCCAAGCCGGATTACTAACAAAATCAGTCACATCTCTTTTAACCACATCATCAAAACCCTCCAAAGAAAGCCAAGAATTGAAGAATTTACAAGGAGAAGGCCCAAAGTCAACCGTATTCGAATGAAGCAAAATAGGGCAATGATCCGACCATTTCCTATCCAACACCGAGACCTGAAGATGATCAAAACAATCAGAAACCGCATCTGAGACCAAGAACCGATCGAGCTTGCTAAGTTTAGCACCTACGACATTAACTCTAGTAAACCGCTTTCCAACCATAGGCACATCAGTAAGACTGGCATCTTCAATGAACTCATTAAAATACTGGGCAGAAATAGAGAAAAAAACAGAACCGAACCTTTTACCCGCCTCCCTGACAACATTGAAATCACCAAAAAAGACATAGTTTCCCCCATTCTTTCTCATGAAAACCGTGATATACCCCTAAATATGTTGCTTTCCCACTAAATCTTGAGGAGCATAAATATTAACCATAAAATAGTTAATATTAAACGGAATCCACAAGCCTCCCACAATAACCACATTACTAGTACAAGTAACACTACTTTTAGTAAACACATTCGGGTCCCACACAGAAAGAATACCACCCGATCGACCCCGAGCACTACTACTAGCAAAATCGAATCTATAATTATCCCACATACTTTGGATCTTGAAAAGATCAACTTCCGTCATTCTCTTTTCTTGCAAACCCAAAAAAGAAACTCCAAACTGCAAACAAAGCACCTTAACCCAACTTCTTTTTAAAAAAGAACGGGTACCGCATATATTGAAAGAAACGCACTTCATTGATCCACCTGTACCACACCAATACTAGATAAAATCTTTTTAACCCGTTACTTGTTAGACTCCATATCATACCCAAGAAGGCCTCCAATTTCAAAATATTGCTTCAACACATCTTCTATATCATCAACTACTACCGAAACTTTCTTTTTAAGAATCTTAGAAGATCCGTGAGAAGTATAAGATTGATCTCGTCTATAACCGGGAGGTTGTGATGGTGATTCGGATGCCCCCCCCCCCCCTCACATTAGCCACCAAATGGGGAGAATCACCCTACAGCTCACACTCAACCACCGTAACCGGAGAAGGCACAACCAGATTACTTTCGTTTTCGGCGACACCTCTCGTGACAGCAAGATTTGGTAGAGAAAGCCTCCATTACCTTTTCTTTTATTATTATTTTGAAAAAAGCTTCCTTTTCTATCAACAAACCCAGCTCCTCTAACACCGTTAATAGGTGTATTATCCATGCTAAAAGAATTTTCTTGCCCCTCATCAACCCTATCACCATTCTCCACATCAATAATATCATTCACATCATCATCAAAATAGGCATCCTCTTCCTCTCCCCCTGACAGGTCCAGAATATCCGACCCTATTTCTCCCTCCACCATAATATTCGGTTCCCAATTTGAGATTTCACGCACAACCACCCCATATTCAACGCCTTGAGCAACCACTTTAATCATATCATGAATCAAAGAAGGTTTACCGGTCTTAATACATACACGTTTAACCGCCAAAGGAGCGTCCCTATCCTCCTCAATAAAACAAACATCACCCCACATAGAAGCTAACTTTTTAACCGCAACATCATTCCAAGCACAACATGGTAAACCCACCAACTCTAACCAAATAGCACGCTCTTTAACAAAAAAAAACCATTAACAATCGGTCTAAAAACTGAGAAATAAGCCTTAATCGCCTCAGATTTCTTAAACCGTGTACAAGCAACCTCCGATACAAAAGAAATATAGACCCAATCACTGGCAACATACTTAATTACAATTTCCGGAAAACCTTCTTCTTTCAAGAGAATACACAACTTTGGAATCAATCTAATGTCTCGTAGCTTGCCAAAAACAGATGCTTTCAATGACAATGGATTATCAATCTCCTTTCCCTGTAAAATACACATAGGAACCGAGCCTTTATTGGTTTTCACAGCCCCCTGACCCTTTAGTACATTTGCATAAGAACTAGTCTGTGCGTCAGCATGCACATTCGACTTAATCACCTGCTCAACAGAATTATGAGAAGCAACCTGCCCCTTTTTATTCAAGACTCCCTTATTACTAGCATCTCGACTAAACCGAGCCACAGAAGCAAGCAAATGGTGATCCCATCCAAATCTCTCTAAGTTTTCGTTCCAACAATAGATCATCTTTAACTTTAAGAAAACGAACAAAGGCGAATCTCTCACCAAGTTTTGATAATTTCCGAGCAACATAAACATCAGCCACCTTTCCAACCTTATAACAGACCTCCCATAACGACTTGACATTTACGTCTGGAGGAAAATTGGTCACAAAGAATGGCGTAGAAACACTATCAATCATTCTCTGATTCATTGGAGTTGGGTGCGACTCATAACCCTGTTCGTTACCGACCATCAAGAACAGCAAGAAAATCAAAAGAAGATGACGGCGTTTGATCCCGCCGGAGACGACGACGAAAGCGTCCGAGATCGCCGGAGACGCAAAGATTTTGTATCTGTTAGATTTATAATTGTTAATATCATATACTTAACACATAAATTTGATGAATGTGAGATTTCTAATCAATTATCTAAATAAAATATAAAATTTCTCTAAAAAGTTATGAACAGTTAATCTAGAACTTGAAGAATAGCAAATGAAAATCTCAAAAATTATGAAAAAATTGATTATAAACAAGGTTGTGAAAATTCGATAAAATTTTGGATTTAGTGATGAGTGTTTGATTGTTGAGTGTTGTTTAATGTTGATGAAGATTCGATTGATCAAGTTTCAATTATTCAAGAGCATAAGATGATGCAGAGATTGATAAATTTAGAAGATTTCGAAGGATTTTACTTTTGATCAACAAATTTGAACTTGCATGAAGGCGATTTGTATTTTTTATACAAAAATCAATGATTTTGGATGAAGAGTTGATGATTTTTTATGAAGAAGTTTAAGTTTTTATGAAGAATCAATGATTTGGATGAACCAATCAAAAAACATTGATTTAGGAATGTATCAATCAAAGATTTGGTTATTTTTATTTAACCAATAACTGTAATTACTTATTTGCCATTTTTTATTTGTTTAATCCATTTATTTTCAGCCTTTACAGTTTAAAAGATGAGTAGCTACGTTCGTTATGGCATATATATATATATATATATATATATATATATATATATATTATATATATATATATATATATATATATATATATATATATAGAGAGAGAGAGAGGAGGGTTCAATTGAGAAAAAAAAAAGGTTGAGAATGGGGGAATCATTCTCAGCCACACATTTATTTTGCCGCAAAACACTTAGGCGTACTGTCGGAAATGGATAACGGATAAACATGTGTTTTCCAACCAAACATGTTTCCTTAAACTATGTTAATCATTACCTTAATATACACAAAAACATATTTTTTTCGTTTTTTTTATTTTTAGAAAGTCATTATTATCGAAAAATTATTTTAAATATATCAAAATTCATAATTTTTTATTCTCTATAGATAGACATCCATATTGAAATACTTTTAAGATAAAATAAAAAATTTATTTTTTTTAGAGTTTCAGCTCGTTATTCATAAGTGAATAAAAAAATCTATTAGATTTTTATTACAGTATATTCGTTATTCACTTATGAATAAAATGTATGCGTAACTTTTTTTTATAGTTTAAGTACCGTTCATATATGAATATGACACGCAATAAAGTTTTCTTACTTAAAATATATTTTTTACATCATCTTTCATCATATATTATATTTATATATGAATAAAACGTGTATTAGTTGTCGTCATATTTTATATTCATATATGAATAAAACATTTATCAGATTTTTGTTACAGTTAATTTGTTATTCATATATGAATAAGTAGTATAAATGATACTTAAACTGTAAAAAAAATTAATTATATATTTTTATTCATAAGTGAATAACGAATGTACTGTAGCAAAAATCTGATGCATTTTTATTCACTTATGAATAACGATAGCTGAAAATATAAAAAAAAATAAATTTTTTATTTTATCTTAAAAGTATATCAATATGGATGTCTATTTGTAGAGAATAAAAAATCATAAATTTTGGTATATTTAAAATCATTTTTCGATATAAATAGCTTCTTAAAAATTAAAAAAACAAAAAAAAAACTATGTTTTTGTATATATTAAGATAATGATTAGCATAGTTTAAGGAAACATGTTTTGTTGAAACACATGTGTATTCCTTATCCATTTCCGCTGGTACAACAAAGGCTTTTGCGGCAAAAATAAATGAGTGGCTGAGAACGATTCCCCCATTCTCAACTTTTTTTATTTTCTCAATTGAACTTACCTCTATATATATATATATATATATATATATATATATATATATATATATATATATATATATATATATATATATATATATATATATACAGAGAGAGGATGGTTTAATTGAGAAAAAAAAAAGGTTGAGAATGAGAGAATGAATCTAGGCCACTCATTTCTAATCTGCCGCTTAAGCGCTCCAGCGTACATGATCGACGGAACAGGTCATATTCATATATGAATACGTATATGGATATATATATTATGAATAAGTATAAAAGAAATCGTTATTCATATATGAATATGGCGACAGTAGGTGGTGGTGGAGGTGGCGATGGTTGCTGGTGGTTGGTTGCGGAGGTGGTGGTGGTGGTTGGTAGCGGAGGGGATGTGGTGGATTCATATATGAATACACTTATATTTATATTCATATATGAATATTACTCATCCTCCGTCGGTCCGGTACGCCGGAGCGTTTTGCAGCAAAAATAAATGATTGAATAAGAATGATTCTCTTATTCTCAACTTTTTATAGTTTCTCAATTGAAATTATATATATATATATATATATATATATATATATATATATATATATATATATATATATGTGTGTGTGTGTTTGTGTGTGTGTAATTAAAAGGCTAAAAGAATTTTGTCAAAAGGAAGCCCTACCTAAGTTGTAACATGACATAAAAATATCCGAAAGTAGACCAAAACTGCAACTTGAGCGTTGAGGAATGTATTTTGAATGTTTGGTTAGCATGAAACTGAAGTTCCCACGGAAAACTCCAAATAAACACTCGTTGTTTTCTTGGATGTTGCCCAACCCCCATCCTATATATCCCAAGTTATTACATGCAACTTGCCTTCATAATAATTCCAAATTGAAGTCTAAATCTTAAAATTGTGTTCGATGAATCTGTGTACTAATATTTAAATGGATCAAACAGATGTGTACCAAATGAACGACAAATCCATATGTGCTTAACAAAATTGCAAAATATAGATATGGTGAGACGAGTGTTGTCTCATGGGGCCGGTTAAGTTGATATAGCGATCATTAGTATATATTAGCTTTCTAATTTTGGGTTGAGATGTTCTTAATGATATTAAGTTGTAGCCCTCGAGATACAATGTAGTAGACTTGTCACTCGTGCATCTTCCTACGTTCATTTTATTATATGAAACTCTTTTAAAAGAGAAAAAGTAGGGCTAAAAATTTTCAAGGTTGTATAATATATTATATTACGTCTTCTGAGCATATGATGAATTTAACATGTTTAATTATGAATGGTTTAATTTCTCATCTATGTTTATGAGGCATACGTACAAAAAAATGGTTTGGAAATGAAATTATGAAGAATAAGTTATTTTAATAGATGATCGATTAGTCACGTAGAGATGACGTCGTTGATGAATGATGATGGAAAGAAGATTTTCAAAGATGATGGATGAATAATTGGTAGTATAGTTTATTAATTGAGCGTGAAGCATGGGATTATTATGGACCACCAACCACTTGCTTGCCTCCTGCCCAACTTTCTACCCTAAAAATAAAAGTATAGTTTCATCATACTTTTATTGTTTGGACTTTGGATTTGGTCATATATATGTATGTATGTATGTGAGTTTTTTTATTTCATTTTTTATTAAGTTAATGATACTTAATTGCAAGTTTAGTCGCGTTTGACTTGAAAAGTCATTAATCGTTGTTTTAAACTTAATATGCTGTTAAAACTTAAATTTTAGTGCCAAATTGACCGTTTTATCATGCAATTTACGTTGTCCATGTGGGCATTTTTAACGATTAAAAGACTAAATGTCAAAAAGTGAAACTATGTTGCTATTTGATGGCATTATCCATTTTATTTACTTGTTCACAAATATAAATTTTTTCTACACTTTGGAATTTATTTCTCTCCCGTTTTGGTATCATTCGAAATGCGCACTACACATAACCTCCAGATCATCTTTTAAAAAATAATAATAGTAGAAGATATAATAACATCATGTAATAAAATAAAACACAAAACCAACTCATCCTTACATATATAATTTTTTAACAATCAATCTTTGTTAAACTAGTATGGTGTTAGAAAACCAAAAAAACTTCTATGGCTTCGGTTTAATTAATGAAAAGTCTCTTTTTTTGAGTTGCAACTAAAAAGAGATTGTCACAAAGTGACTAGTTATCGCAATTCCTTATGAACAAAAGTGACTCTTTACAAGCAAAATCAAAATTCACCAACACACTTGTCATCATTGTTTCTTCAACACCCACAAAACTTATTACAACATGCAATTACAGACATTTTGATTCAAAACAACACACAATGAAATGGAAAACAATCTCGTCCATAATATACTAAGTCAAGTATGACAAAGGGTACAACTGTTATAATAAAATAAGACACATCAAAATTCCCTAAATAGATGTGTTCAAAATTTTCAAGACTATATTCTCATAAGAATAATAATAATAATAATTACCTGCTAACAAATCCAATTGTGAAACTCGATACGATTACAAGCCTTAGCAAAACTCTACACTTTGAAATTGTCCAAAAATATTTGTTCTCACTTTGATGAGAGACTGACTCTCTTCCCTTCCACAGTAAACTTTTCACTGCGTTCAAGCTGCAGTAAAAAAAAAAACACAAATTATTAATATCAGAACTGAATGCAACCATACTTTATATAATTTCACAAGAAAAATCATTACCTTCTGTCTCAAAAATTCAAGAGCATCCTTCTTTGAAGAGAAATTGGAAAAAATTGAAGAGTTTTCATCGATAAGAACTTTGAGTTTTTTAAGCTTCAATGATTTCTCAGGTACTTGGGTAAGAAGCTTTCTGCAGAGTTTCTTTAGCTTCACTTTTGATTCTGACACATCATCAATTTTTTGTTTCTTTAAAGAATGGTCATCTTCAGACTCGGATTCCTCCCTCTCACTATCACTAAAAGACGTTTTTGTCCCTTGAAAACGAACCCCTGCTATTTTCCTTGGGCGATCCTTGATACCAAGTCCCTGTTTTCCAGAAGTTGCTTTATCCTGCAAAAACAACAAAATGTCAATTTTGTAGATGTTGATTCTTTATTCAAAAGTTGAGGTCTTTTTAGTTTTTATTATTAAAAAAAAGGTACATACTTGTACAAGTTTGTAAAGATTCTCTTGATCCTCTTCATAAAATGCAGTCCTTTTGTTACTATTTTGAGTGATTTCTGATGTGCTGCTGGACTTCTTTCTCTTGGATTGTGCTCCAAGTAATCCTCCAGACACAAATCCAAATTTGTTACCCCACCAGTCTGGAGAAATTTCCTTTTCATATTCAACTGCTAACAAACAAATATTGAAATATGAAATATGTTTTGTTTTAAATTTTAATACACCACAAAACCATAAAAATAAAGCATAACATGTAGTACAGAATTACCTTGTGCTTCAGGATAATCAGATGCTTCCACCAGCTCTAACTCTCCATCCTCATAACAAACAGACTCAGACTCTGGACTCACATCAGTCTTTTTGACCTAAAAAAAAAATCCAAATTCTCTAAATTGTCAAGAAATTAAATCATAAAGAAGAATATGGTAATAGTTATAGAGCAAAAACAAGAAAACATACAAGGATTCCTTCAAGATCCTGAGCAGAGTATGCATTCACAAGCTTTCCTCTCTCTCTTCTCTTGTATCTGGTAATATATTAATATATATACCTATGTATTAATAATTTGGATATAATGAATAATTTAGAATTAAACTCGATTTTGAGCAAGAAAATGACCAATGACCTTTCTTGGGGACGTGTAGCCTTGACAGTTTTTTCAGTATTGTCCTTTGGTAAGTCTGTTTCTTCATCATCCTCCTCTGAGATAAGAAAACAAGGATCATGAGTTAACAAATACTAAAGCTTCATCATGATTACAAATCAGTGACTTAAGCATACCTTCATCATGTTTTGTTTGTGTTGCTTGCTGTTAATACATACATGAAATTTTGATTAATAAGATAATTCATGTGAATAAACTTTTTCTAAAAAAAAGAGAACAGGCTCAGGTGAAGAAATTGAAGAACTTACCACTTTCAACTTTTTGAGAATATTATCAAACTGTGTAGTATCAAATGCCCATTCGTTTGGCTTATCTAAACCAACACCTGTTTTGCATTCAAGTTAGAAGCAGAAAAAATAAATAAATAAATAAATAACAACTTCATTTAGACTTTCATACTGTGAGGCAAAATCACAAAACACAGACTGAAAAAATGCTAGCCAGCATGTCTAACATTGTGCTTATTAAAAGAAATCACTTCATCTGTGTTATTGTTTCATGAGCACCCATATTAGCACTCATTCTACATGGACTTTAGGAAAACAATAATACTCCCTCTGCCCCATGATTAACATCCACTTTTGCTACTAAAGATTCAAAATTAGTTCTTTCAAATTGATGTTTCAAGTTGTTGGCTTTAAAAGAGAAAAATGGACTCTAAATTCGGGCAGAAAGATAACTAATAGCAAATTATATGATGCAAAACTTACATTTCCACTGCTAAAGCCTAAAGAATGAGCTAGAGTTTCTGTTTAGGTCTAATGCTTGTGTTCATACTGAAATACCTCTTCTTAATGTAGTAAAATCAGAACTTCAAAGGATAGTTTAAGATAACATTAAGCCGTAAATCATATACCAAGAGTGTCTAATTTATTCGAAACCCTAACACGAAGTAACATTTCTTTTTTCAAATGTATGAAATTAGATCATTTACCAAGATTATCTTGCTTGTTCGTAACCCTAACATGGCCTTTGATCCCTTGTTTGTCCTTGCCAAGACCTTCGCCTTCTTCCCATCCCTACAAAATAGAAATATAATCCATCAATCAAACATACCTCTGAATCTATCCTAATTAAAGTCATTAGACTTAAAACTTTGACATCAACTGGATTTGTTAACTTATATTTGCCTGAAGAAATCAAACTAACCATTTGTTTCATGAGGCGAAAGGCGGCGGACTTTTTGGCAACTCCTACATAGCATAGGGGAACTTCGGGAGTGGCCATGATGCTACGTTTGCTTCCGGCGACGATTAGTAGTTTCTCTCTCACTCTCGCTCTCGCTCTCGAGACTGCTCGAGGGAGGAGGAGGAGGAGGAGGAGGAACAAGGGTTTAGCAAATTCGCACAAGTCGGCCGATGTACAATAGAATGCGTTCCTATGGCGCCGTTCGACTCCAACAACCCAATTTATTTTTCCTTTCCTATTTTATAGATTTTACATATAGCACTTTTGTTTTACCAAAAATAATATGGATGCGTTTAGTTAAGGAAAAACAGTCTTTATTTTTTGATTTTCCTTTTCAGTTTTTGTTTTTCGTTTGCAGTTTTTATTGGAAAATTTAGAAAACGCGTTTAGTTACAACTTATTTATTTTTTATTTTTAGTTTAGAAAATTAAAAAACACTTTTAGATGTGTATATTTCTATAGGTTTTCATTTTTAAAAAACATTAGCGATTGTAGGGTGGGGGCGGCAGCAGTGGTGGGGGCGACGGCGGGGGGCAGTGGTAGTGTCGATGATGGCGACAGTGGTGGTGGTGGTGGTGGTGAGGACGGCAGTGGGGTGGCAGGGGTGGTGGTGATGACAGGCGGTGGTGGTGGCGGCGGAAATTGTGGTAACGGCAGTGATGGCGGCGATGCTGGTGGTGATGATGGTAGGTCGGTGATTGTGGTAGTGGTGTTGGGTGTGTGTGTGTTTTGTGGGTATGCAAGTATTTGTGGGGGTGGAGGTGTGTGTGTGTGTGTGTGTGTGTGTTTGGGTGGGGGTGGGGTGGGGGTGTTTGTGGGTGTGTGTATGTGTGTGTATTTGTTTGTGGGGGTGGGTGTGTATGTATGTGTGTTTGTGGAGGGTGGGGGTGGGGGTGGGCGCGCGTGTGTGTGTGTTTGTGGGGGTGAGTGGGGGTGGGGATGGGGATTGGGATGGGTGTGTGTATGTTGGTGTGTGTATGTATGGGCGTGTGTATGTGTATTTGTATGGGTGGGGGTGAGAGTGGGGGTGGGTGTGGATGTGTATTTATATGTATGTATGTGTGTGTATGTGTTTGTGGGTGTGTGGGTGTGTATGTGTGTGTGTTTGTTTGTTTGTGGAGGTGGGTGTGTGTATGTGTGTTTGTGGGGGTGGGGTGGGGATGGGTGTGTGGTTGTTGGTGTGTGTGTGTGTATGGGTGGGGGTGGGGGTGGGGATGGGTGTGGGTGTATGTTTGTGTGTGTGTGTGTTTGTTTGTGGGGTGTGTGTGTGTGTGTATGTGTGTTTGTGGGGGTGGGCATGGGAGTGGGTGGGTGTGGGTGTGGGTGGGTGTGGGTAAGTAGGGGTATGGTGGGTTGGGAGTGTTAATGTGGGGTAGGTAGAGGTGGGTGGGATAGGAGTGAGTGTGTTTATATTTTAGAAAAAAATTAGAATTAGAAAATGTGGAAAACAATGATTATCGGTTTTCCAAAAATTTACAACTTCTTTGTAATTTTAGAAAATAGAAAATTTTCATTTTCCGTGAAAAATTTAGAAAAATAGACGAACTAAACGCGTTTCAAAATTCTCATTTTTCTTGGAAAATTTTTCCGAAAAACGACCCATTTTTTCGCAACTAAATGCACAATTTGTAATTCTAAATACTCATGTTATTCTTTAGGGATAACGCTAGGGTGAGCATTTGGACCAGACCAGACCGGTTTGGAAGAAATCAATAGATCGTGGACCGGACCGTTAGGTGCATACCTGTGCCGGTTTTTCGGTTCTTAGACTGGTTGAACTAATACAACATGCAATGAGTATGGTACAAATCGATGAAGTAGTTGTTATACAATAATGGTTTAGATGAGTTATTTGAGTTTCTTGAACATTACAGGTTTTATGATTAAGACGAAGTGACTTGGGAAGGGTGTAATTAATGTATGTATTTTACGTGACAAGTTTATATGATTACACTACTTCCATACCATGTGTCTGTTCAACACGGAGCGTTTGGGAGCGTTTGAGAGTTTCTAATGTTTAACAAAACATTCCCTTTTGAACAGAAAGTCTCGTTTGGCACTACAAGCTTTTAGCGTTTAGTTTAAACAAAACGTTTCAAATCCAAATGTCACTTCATGCAGCGTTTAACAAAACGCTACCAGCCAGATTTTACCCGCTACCAGTTATTTTTGTCGAACACGCCCCATATGTTTTAAATGTGTTATTTATCACAAGTACCCACCCATATTAAATATTTCAAAATTTAAATCTTATAGTTATATGATTTTCAACCCTATGGTAATTACCATGTTTTATAGAAAATTAAGAATATATGATAGTAACATGAGGAGTAGTACTTTGAGTCTTAGTTTTCTATATCTATGAATTGTTGGAATAGAAATTCATTTCTTTTGTATTGTCTTAATCTATGAGTTGAATTTTTATTTGGGACATTTTTCCATAAGAATATATGATAGTAACATGAGGAGTAGTACTTTGAGTCTTAGATTTCTATATCTATGAATTGTTGGAATTGTTGGAATAAAAATTCATTTCTTTTGTATTGTCTTACTTTATGTATATGTGTTAGGACATTTTTCCAAAAACGTTTTTATTAATAGATTTTTTTTTCTTAAAGTCTTGTTATTTCCAATAATCGAAGGTGATTAGTGTTTCACAAAAACCACCACCTTCCAATTTATATACCTACTATATGTGTTTCTCATCACAATCACAAATCAAACCACACGTTTCTCAATCTAATCATCTTTGAGTTTCATCTTGATATATGGCAACTACATCAAACACTTTGAATATTTTGTACCATATAAGGGTAGACATCGTAAGCAATGATTCTCTATCGAAGACATATGTAACGGGATTCCAAATGTTTATGGAGGCCTATAAAGGTGTGGTTTAAAGAAGAAATATTTGCTTCCTAGGGCATGGATGTTTGAGTTATAATAAGCTTTTTAGTATGTTGAGAAAATGAATTTTTTTGTGGAGATTATGCTCTTAATTATATTAAATTTTGTGTTCTTGTGTTTAGTTTAAGTAGTAAGTCTCTGATATGAGTTTTAGTTGGCAGAGGGCTTTAGAGTAGTAGCTCAATGAAGTCAAACATTATTCATCCACTTATGTTGTTATTATATGTATGAGGTGCATAAAACTGATTTTTTATTAAATCGGGTCGATTTTAATTTTAAAACTGGTTTCAGATTAGGTCAACGATGTAAAACATGGGGCCGGGCTAAATTGGTTTGGATCTAAAATAGATTTCAATGAAAATTAATTTGAACATATATACGAGTTTTGTTCTTCCTTGGAGATATTACCATGCAACTAACAGAAAAAACGGATTCCAAATATACCGAAGAAAGTTAGACCGTTGGTAGATCACAAGCTATAACAGAAAGAATTCGGAAACTGGGATCCCATTTCTTACCATCAAGACAAAATATCAAAAAGTTTAAACTCATATATACTTATATATGCTAGAAAAACGGATTCAATATACATTCCGAGCTCGCTATTGGGGATGTTATTTCGAGCCCGTTTATCAGCATAATTTTTTTAAATATTATAACTCTAAATGTTTCTTTTTTACCATGGCTACCGAATCCAAACGTACACACATTTCTCATTGAGTTTATCTGTTGAACCATATTTTGTTGAAATTTAAATGTTAAAATTTAGATAGTTCATTTGTTGCAAAACCTATGTCTCCTTGGAATAAACCCAAATCGTAAGATATGTTGTGAAGTAATGTTTCAACCTCCCCAACATTTATAATTGGTTAAATGTAGTAACGGGAGGCATATCTCTAAAATATTTTATAAATTTAGCTTTCATCAGTTATATCATTTCAGAAAACAACATTACATTTCTCTTTTGGAACTCCGTTATGCTTAAAACGATTGAGATTTACCCAACTCATTTTCATTACTTTACCCGCTCAACTTTAATCACATCTTGTTTAATTTTAACAACACAATAACACAAAAGGGTTAAATCCCATCCTCTCCTCTTGTCCCCCAACAAATTAATTACGTAATCAACAAGTGTGTTTATGTGAAAAAATAGAAACATCTGGCACCACATACATACATCTGCAAAGAAGATAGAATTCAGTAGCTATGCCTATCTATGATTCCTTACCCATTTAGACACTTCTATTTTACCTTGTTGAGTAGAAGAGATGTTTGAAGCTGAGCATCATCTTTTATAAAACTCCACCACATGTAAGTAAGTGGGATTGTTGTGGCATGCCAAACCGCATGTGCATCAATAAATCCTTGGTATGGAGGAAAATCATATATTTCTAAAAGCATTGCTAATGCACCCGAAACTATCACAAACCGTAGTTTTACACGTGATGGATGACCACTTATTCCACCCCATACTGCCCATATTAATAGCTGTGCAACTCCCATTGTAACACACACTTTCATGTTCCACCCTGATCATCATTTTTATAAATAAACAAAAAATTAATGTTGCGAAATACTGTCTTGTATTGTGAAATTCGCATTCATATATGATTTTTATTTGAAACATTTATGGTTTGGTTAGAATAGTACTGATTAAACTAGAAAATTGCCAAAATATAATAATGGTTTTTAAAGTAATTTGGGGAAATGGGAAAGTTACCATAATCGAGTTTGTAGTTGTTGAGGTACAAAATGTGAGTGGTGACAAATGCAATCAAAGGGGCAGAAACCATGACTCTTGCAGCCTCCAGCCTCACATTGAAGCTTCTTAATATGGATACAATCAGCGAGTATCCAAGCAATGTAATTGCAGAATAGTAGTCTAGCTTTTCTGTCAATTCCACATCTCTGTGTACGTAACAACAAATTTTATAAAACTTTGTTATTTAATATATATATATATATATATATATATATATATATATATATATATTTGGGACAAAGCAATCATGTAGGTAGTCTTTGGTATGCAGTAATAGAATAGGGAATGGAATGAAAATCTTGTTTGTTTGTCAAATAGGAACGGAACAGAATGGAATGATAACGGAATGCAATGACTCATTCCATTCCTTTGTGATTTGATTCCATCATACCAAAGAGACCCTGATAAACTCACCGACTGTGAAAAACAGCACTCCAAAACCAGGAATTCAATGCTAGAAGCCCGTATAGATGCCATAGACCAGCATAATCATAGTAAGGCTTTTTATCTGGTTTCATAGGTAGCTTGTAATGCAAAAG